GCTCTCGCTGCTGCTGCTGCTGTTGTTGCTCTCGCTGCTGCTGCTATTTTTGTTATTACTTTTGTTGGTGAAAATAATTTTGTTATCGTCGGCGGTGTTGTTGATAGTCATGTCAATGTTTACGCTATTGTTAATGTTAATGTCGGTGTTAATGTAGATGTAATATGGTTGAAGTTGTTGTTTATGTTTCTCTTTCCTGTTTTTGTCTGCGAATTTCGCTACGCTAACGCGATTATTTTGCAATACCACGTGATTGACTGCACGATACGACAGGAATGACTATACGATACCACGTGACTAGCTGCGCAATACCGCGCGTCCATGTGTACGATACCACGTGAGCGACTGTGTGGTGTCACGTGACTGACTGCACAATGCCACGTGACTGACTGTGTGAGGTCACGTGACTGTATGGCGGGAGGCAGCGGCATATGTGGCTCATCGTCATACTACAAAATGAAAAATGCATAAATGCGGCTACTCATATATAACACGACACAACACCGATAGTGGCCCGGCCCTGCCGCCAGGTAGAGCGAGAGTGCGAGCGAGAGTGCGAGCGAGGGAGAAGGACAGAGGATAGAGACCCCCCACCCTGCTCTATTTAAATCCCGCCTCTTTATTTCCTTTTTACATTCCCTTTTTTTATTTTCACTTCATCTCCTCTCTCATCGAACGACAGTGCGAGCAAGAGAGAGGGGGACAGATACGTACACCGATCTGTCCCCAACGACCCCACCCCGCTCTATTCAAGAACCTACCTCTTATCCATACCCCTATTTTCGCCACACACACCTCATCTCTAAGATCCATCGCCCCCCTCTCTTTCTACTTATTTTCCTATACAACCCCTCCCAATGAGCCGCATTCTAACACTAACACTAGCTCTAATACTAAGCGTGCCCCTAATCCTAATTTTTATCTTAACAATAACCATAGCCATAACCCTAACCTAATCCTTACATTAACCCAAACCTTCACCTTAATCCGACAATTTTCCTCAACCCCTCAACGATACTTCTAACCCCAGCCTTAGCCATAACCCTAACCCTAACCTTGGCCAAACCCTTACCCTAACCCTAACCTTAGCCATAACCCTAACCCTAACCATAGCCATAACCCTAACCCTAACCATAGCCATAACCCTAACCCTAACCTTAGCCAAACCCTAACCCCAACCTTAGCAATATCTCTAACCCTAACCCTAACTCTAACAATAACCTAGCCACTCTATCCCTATTCTCCCTTCCATATATTTCCTCACACCAGGTTTTCTCTCTTTACCTTTCCTCCCACCAGGCTTCCTTTCGCTCCCCCCCTTCCTCTCGGGACGCCCCTCTCGCTCCACCGGCGGCGGCTAAAGGCACAGCGACCACACAGTGACATAGCGACATGCGCATGCATACATGCTTTCCGGGATATGCGGCGTAGACTTCACGACAATATCCGCTGAACAGCTCCACCTTTGCGGCCTCCTCCTCGTCGTGCGGCGGCAGCGGCGTCGAGCCGAGGGGCGGCTCCTCTTCGTGCCCCGCCGCCGCCGCCTCCGTCGCCTCTTCGTGTGTCGGCGCCTCGGTTCGGCGCCTCTCTCGCTCCTTGCGTTTGTGCTTCAACGCTTCGATGTGCGCCTTGTGCTCGACCTGCCGCTGTGTCATCTCGACTAGCGACGCCTGGGTGAGTCGGCGGAAGATGGTGGAATTCTTGTTGTCGTCGGCCATTGTTTAGCACCGTCCTGACGACCAATGACATGAAGCTACGGATCGTGAATGTGTATTTGTGCATGTATGTATACCTGTCACAAGTCTTCATGAATTCGGTCTATCTGTGTGTATCTTCGATATATACCTAAAGATAGCGAAAGAAAGAGATAAAAAGCGAGGTAGTAAGAGATTGAGAGAAGAGGGAGAGACAGAGGGAGACAGCGCGCGAGTGAGCAAGAGAGAAAGCGGACATGGGCTCGCCTGCATTGTTAATGAGAGAGACGGAATCGAACGAACCACACCTATCTTCTACATATGATCACTAAAAAACTATTTAACTGAAAAATGAACCTGCGACTTGGAATTATTTTCGAACCACACTAGGGGAACACAGAAACAACGCACGTGAGCAATTCATGGTTTTGTATACACGTCATCTCTACGTCACCGATTTACGTGAGAGTGCGTTGAGTTGGCGTTTGCAATGTATGTGCGCTGCGATGACCCATGCTAACGATTCTGTCTATGCTGCTGCTGTTTTTGCTGTTGCTATTATTGTGTATTATGGTGTAATATTATAGTAGTAGTTGTTGTTATTGCTGCTGCTGTTGTTGCTGTCGCTGCTGCTGCTGCTGTTGTTGCTCTCGTTGATGCTGCTGTTGTTGCTCTCGCTGCTGCTGCTGTTGTTGCTCTCGCTGCTGCTGCTGTTGTTGCTCTCGCTGCTGCTGCTGTTGTTGCTCTCGCTGCTGCTGCTGTTGTTGCTCTCGCTGCTGCTGCTGTTGTTGCTCT